AGGTCAGGTACAAATAGCACACACAAACTCCCTGGGTTTTTTCACTTTAATGCATAAAACGTACACAAATAGAAGTATTGGTCGAGCACTGGGATGGTCGAGCACAGGTACTGTGACTCTATATGGTGACCCAAAACATAGTCTGTTCGTATCATATTAATGATTTTTTTTGTTACTTCTTGTATTATATATTACTTCGTTTATAGAGTAAGTTCACAAATGTCTAACTTTATACTTTTCAATAAACATTTGTGTGAAATCTATGTTAGTTGTTATTCAATATTTATATTTCTGCATAAACTGATTTATTTCTACCTCCACTAGCGGACATCTATATCATAATGTTATATACAACACAGCCTCTTTAATACATAAAAACAAATAATGCAATTTAAATATTATTGATAAAAAGATCAAATTCTGTTCACTACTTTAATATATGTACCTTCTTTAAATAATTAACATGATAAAGTATTGGAGGAGAAAGATCGACTCAGAAATCGCTTTGTTGGGAAAAGATCGACGATTCAATCCATAATAACTTAGCCCTGAAATATCATTTCCATAAAATATCACTTATCAAGATATCCAGAAAACCGAGGGCGTGCCTGGTAACCACTTCTTGGGTCTATAAATTTTCAAAGCAGCGTGCCTCTCTGGCCACTTCAACGATATTTAACATGGTACTTTGTTTATCTACTCTGGTGAGCAAATATTGCGCATGGCCGTCCCACCTAAAAACTGACTTACCAAAACGGACAGAAAAAAAAAGATCCGGGTTTTAATATTTAAACTCAAGATTGAAAAATGAGTTTTTTTTTTGTTTAAACCATCTAACAGTATGTCCCTTTAAATCAGTATCATAACCAGAATCTGTGTGCAGGTTTATTTTCTGTTGTTTTTTTTTTTTTTTGGTGGGGGTGTTTGGGAGAAGACGCAGGGACAGGGGAAAGGCAGGACAGGCATAAAAAGTAATAACAAATCACTGAAGTTGATTCATGTTTTTTTTATTTTTCCTCTGGCAAACAATAATATATCATAATGATCTGATGAGGAAGCTGCTTCTGTTAGACAAAATGTAACAGTTTCAAAATAATACATGTACAAAATCATAGTGATATCTACAAACTGACATTCACCATTCAAACCTTACACACATACATCTCCTCTCCCCCCCCCCCCCCGGTGGGTTTTTACTATTATGTCCATAATTATCAGTAACTGAATAAACTATAGTTAATGTTAAATATCATTTCACTTTACTACACACTAATATACTCAATCACTTTTTTTTATTTTTATAATTATTCTTAATTAAAAGCCAGTTCTTACTCTTTATTTCAATATAATTATATAAGACATTTTCTGATTGGTCAATTTCAAATTAATGCTCAAGATCAATAATTCAGTTTTAATGGAAAATCCATAATTCACAAAAATTGATTTTCTTTCTCACAAAAATAAAGACAAAGTGATTTTCACCATGCTAACTGAAGTCCAAGAAATAACCTTGATATGACCTTGAACCCATCCAAGTATGACATTGACTTCCACCATGTGACCTTGACTATATGCTGACCTTACCCAAAGTAAGCTGAACAGAAAAATAACCACCAGCCACTTGCCTTGACTTCATATTATTATTAAATTTATGTTTGTTTTATGTTTACTTAATTTTAACTTACAAACAGTGTCACATGGTATTTGGCCAACAGGCTTCACACATCAAAAAGCATAAACATAATGTGTAAAACTTAAGACATAAAAACACTGATAAAGAATTATTTTAAATGGTACACTCAAGTTTGTGACCACTTTTCTGATTTACCCACCCTTACTTTCATTTTTAAAATAAACATCATATCTTGAAAATTATGACCCTAACAAATTATGAAAAAAAATCAGCTTTTTTTAAAAAAAAACTTTTAGGACTAAAAACCATGTTGTCAGAAGAAAATATATACATTTTGTTTATATGTGTTAAACAACAACAACAAAATGGATGGTAATTTTTAAGTACTCCTTCAATTTCAATAAATGCCCTATTTTGATTTAATGAAAGCTAACATAATAAAATGTATAAAAAATATGCATGTGGAATGAAAGATAAGCTAAATCTATGCAAAATAAATCAATACTCCTCATGAATTAAAATATAAGCAAAAAGAAAACTGCTGTCAAATTATACTGAAAACTAAAATAAAAATATAAAGCAGCCATTAAGAAAAAGAGTTTCAAAACTAAACTTGACAACACATAGCAAATTTTTGCACTGTACTAAATTATACAGGTACAAGACAAAAAGCCAAAATAATCATTTGTTCAACTTTGGAATATCCAAGTTTTTAACCTAAAATTTTCATTTATCTTTCATTTTCCGAACAGTTACCTTCACAAAACACAGTACATGTATTAGAAAAGTAGCAGTCTGTTATCTTTATGCAAAAATTCTCCTACTTGATATTTAACTTCTAATCCCCTAACTTTGTATAAAGCTGACCTTTTCTGATACAAAGTCCCGTAACCTATCATTATGCAGTGGTTCCTTTATCTTTGAAAGAAGTTAGGTCATTTTTAATGTAGTTCTGGCTAGAAAAGAATGTAAAAGAAATAACCAAAAGTAGCCAGATGACCCATGTTGCAGGGGATTATATGAGCCGCGTCACGACAAAACCAACATAGTGCGTTTTCGACCAGCATGGATCTAGACCAGCCTGCGCCTTGGCGCAGTCTGATCAGGATCCATGCCGTTTGCTTACAAACCCTATTACAAGTAGAGAAACTGATAGCAAACAGCATGGATCCTGATCAAACTGCGCAGAGGCGCAGGCTGGTCTGGTCTGGATACATGCTGGTCGCAAACCCATTATGTTGGTTTTGTCATGGCACGGCTCATATACTCTTTCAAAATGAAAACCCGGCCCTTCATTACGTCAAAGAGAGTAATTTGAATATCTGCCCAATGAATGTCATGACCAATAGTCTGTACATACAAAACAAGATAGATAAAGTAACTCTGTCTCATGTGTAAAATAGACTAGTTGACCTTGGTATTTGACAATATGTGAATGAAAAAAAAATTAGTATCAAAACACAAAAAATTAAACAGCCAATAATTTAGAGTCAAACCTCACTGCTAACCTGAATCTAAAATTTTGACAAAAGTTTGCTATTAATGCCCAAAACATTTAAAGTCTTTATATGAACATTCTGATTCAGTCATTTTTTTTGGTTTATACCTTTTAATGCTTATTGGCATCTTTCTTTAAATCAATACTGGTATTTCCCTTGTCAAGGAGCGCGGGTTTGAGTCCCTGTCAGGCTGCACATTTTTCTCAGCCTATGACATAGACAATTTTACAGTTTGTTTCTCAAGTTCTTTTCAGCAATTTCAGCCCAAAAGAGATAACATTTTAACCTTATCTGTAGTTATATTTTAAAGGCATTATTTCCAACATGCATGATATTTTAATCCTGCAACCTGAAAAATCCCCCAATTATGCTAACATTGCTCAAAAGTGAACAATATGGTAAATACCACTAAAATAGCATTCAGGTTGACTGCCTTATAGCATGTTTTTATTTATACAGAGCAAAACAAAAATGACTACAGTATTAAATCAAAATGTTAATGCTGTATTTCTTTTTACAATGTTTCAAAAGCTAATAAACTTTCTTTTTTAAAAAATCTGTAAAAATGCAGCAAAAAACAGCGAAAAGACAGTTGCCAAAACAAATCTTATGTATAATTTATACACTGCAAATATTCTTAAAATGGAGAAAATATAAAGATTTCAGTGCAAAAAAACATGCATTCTCAAAAAGATAATTGAAGAAAAATATAAAAAAAAATAAATGCAGCTGTTTCATAATTTCTTCAGTTGAAAAAAGGGAGATAACTCTTACTACCCTGTTCTGAATTTTTACGTTCTGCCAGCACTATTTATGTAATATTGCATTTTTTCTCTTTTTTTTTCTTATTCCAAGACCTGCTACTCTTTACATACAGTACATATACATTATTTCAAGTGTGTGTGTAAGTAATCTTGGAGAAAACCTTTGACCTTCACAAGCTAGACTAATACACAAGATGCAAAAATTTATAAATTGATGAAATGATGAAAGAAAAAGCTAATGAGAGAAAAAAATCTAAACAAAAACAACAAAACCATCAACAGCAATACACAGAATAAATAGCTGCCTATTTCTTGTCATGTACACTTCCATTTACATCATTTTATCACAAATATACAACCTTTCACACATAATTATTCTGCACTACAAGAAAAGATTTCATCTATTTCCTTTATGCCATCCCCCTCCCCTCCCCCCATCCCATCCCCGATACCCCTAACTTTGGTACAAGACATATATTTTTTTACAATCTGGTGAACTGTAGAACAAGTAAGCAATTTCTTGTAACATGTCACTAAAGGCCAGAAAGTTATTTTTTCCGTATCAATTAACCTTCATAAAGCAAGTGTCTGGTTTTAGAGACCACTTGTGAAAATAGAACATTTTTCTTAAAATTGTACATTTTCTAATACATTGTATCTATTTTTAAACATTATCCTTTATTTGTGAGTCAATACAATTAAAGCACACATTTTTTTTTTTACGAAGGCCATTCAGTTTCCTTGTTTCTACCACTAGTTTACAATACTATCCTGAAATGATGTGGTGTGACCCAACTTTTTGTACAAATGTAATATAGTACAATGTCATTCAAAACCAGATACCGATATCTATTTCGTGCAATATAAAATTTCCCAATGTTGAGTGTCAAAGCTATTTATAGCAATGACTCATGTCAGAGTTATTGTGATGTAATGTATCACATTACAGTCAACCCCTTCATTTCATTGCACTTTAAAAAAAAAAAGCACTTAACTTTTTAAAAAAATATCAAGCATCTTAGTTTCATAATAAAATGGATAAGTTTCTCACAAGATTTAATATTACCATGTACGGGGAAACAGACAATTTTGTTTCTTTGGGTTGGGAAGTACAAACTTTAACCTAGCTATAATTGTGTAATGGACTAGTCCTGATTTCAATTTGGAAAAGTCAATTGTTAATCTATAGGGGCTTTAATACCAAAATTAAATTGCCTAGACTAGACTACACGGCAGTGCTGGCACAAGTCATAATTGTGGCTAGTTTTGGGGGTAATTCTTCTAAATAAAGATTTGTAAGTTTTTGGGGGTAATTTTTCTAAATAAAGATCAGAATTCACTTATTTTTATCATTTAGCTAGTGCAATTCTTGTATCATACAACACATTAATTCTCACACTCGCCAAAATCATACATGACTCAGTTTTACAACAATTTGAGATCTCATCTCATGTAAGTTTTGTTTAGAGCTAAAACGTGTTATCACCATTACAGATAGCCATGTTTCAGTGCTAAACATATGAATAAAATGACGTATTCAGTGACTTATTTTCATATATCTACAGGTAATAAAAAATGAACAATTTTCAATATACAAAAAAAAGTACTTAGTACCTTTTTTTTATCCAACTGACAACTAAACAATGGAGGTCAAATTCTTATTCTTCGGGGGAAAAAAAGTTGGGATTTATTAATTTAAAAAAATCTTTAGTTTACACTTCTTCCAGAGAGAAAAAATAGTCAGCATTTATTATTAAAAAAAGATTCTTTAATACCATAGTTTTTTATATTTGTAATAATGTTTTAAAAGTCTAATTTATATATATCTCATATACAAAGAAATGGTAATTTCAACGTAGAAAATGAGAAATTTTTTTCATTTAAGGTATTTCAAATATCAGCAAACATTATTCACAATTTTTAATTTGGTTTACTAAAGCTTCATGTTTGTAAATATAACACTGTGACAACGCCCTCTAATAACTATAGACTACCATTTTCTGCACTCTTGACTATTCAATGGATATCATGATTCTAAATATAGCATCCTAGATACCGGCGCGATAGTAATCATAATTGTGAGAATATTTCGGTCATCTATTCCACATGAATTCACCCATTGTGAAGTTATTATTACAAATGCTAAATCCATAAGAACATCAAATCCTAAATCCATAACACATCTATAATTTTAGCAACATTTAATAGCTGATTGATCCACCACTCCACACTGTAATTCAGCAGAAATACAACTGATCTTCTATCAAACTTTAGTCGAAGCCGAAATGTCCAGCGATGTTGTTTTTCCCTCACTTGAATATTTTACATGTTTGTGCCTTTAGTGTGAAGTGTAGCACAGTGCATGCGGAATTTCGAAAAACCAGGGTAGATGTCACCGTGATGCCGTATTTAACACGTCCGGCACAGTGAAATCTGTGCCCATGGCAGTAGACCGCAATGAAGCACATCTAAAGTAAAAGTTTTGGTACACTAGAAATCCCCTTCACCATTTCTACCAGTTTTTCTGCATTTTTTAATTTGAGTTTTACTTGTAACACTCATTTTGTGCACCAATTATTTAAGCTCGATACCTCAATATATGGAAGAAGGTATCACTTCCGTAAGTCTAGCACAAATACCTGGAAAGAGAAGCATAAAATAATTATCATATTGCAGATATATCTGACACTATACTTTATATAGTTCTACTACAGCTTTACAAGGAGGAAAACCCCAAAGTCCCTTCTTTGGCATTATTTTCATGCAAAAATGGACTAACACAGACCTTCTTTAGGCTAGCTAATAGCTTCTTCAACTAAACCAATTCAATCTTCTTGAGGATAATAAAACAACCATTTAGCTCCAGACAGTAACCAACTATTTTGGGTAATACTAGTTTTCTCTCAAGTTTAACTGTGATCTCAGACCAGCTAAATTTAACAGTAACATGCCGTCATCCCCAAGTTTAGTTTAACCTGTAACCCACTCTTGAGTTGAACAGTAACATTTCATCAGTAACACCCTCTTTAAATAGACACAAAACTTTAATTTGCTCGGAAACTGCCAAGAAGGAGGTGTTATTTAAAGCAATTGTTGATAACAACTGATGACACATGGTTGACACATTGCCACCATAAAAGCTTATCTCTGAGCAAATCAGACTCAGGTGAGCTAATAAGGTAACTGTTCACAGAGCAATGAACTTGTTTACATGTATGTTTGATTGTTTAATTATGTAACATATGTTAATTGATGATGTCATGCAAAGGAACAAAAAACTGATTTTCAAGGACGACAGAATAGCCTATAAATGATGTGGCAAGGCAGAAAATACATTAATCATTGCATTGCATAACATTTTAACATGAAAATCAAAAACATTGAATTCAAAGAATAACAGTTTTTTATGTATTCTTTCATATACATGCGAATTCTTCAAGAAATACATTTTTTAAAATCATATCCCTTCATAAAACCAATAGAAAATGGAGGAAAACATAGAAATGCATTTTCATTCAGAAAGTGACTTATCTAGCTGAAAGATTTGAAAAATAAGAAACATAAGTGAAGGATGAGTCAAATTTATGATAAAATCTTTACAACATCTTGAAATCCCCATTATGCAATAATGGACAGTTCCAATCTGGACAAATCCACTTAAGAAATTCAGAAGGTTATGGGTAAACAAATAAGGGTGTTTCATTGTAAGTAATACAAACTAAGAATTGTTTGATATTTCAACAGGTATGTAACAGAAAAGGTGGCCATACATACATACTATAAATGAGCCGCATCAAAACAAAACCAACATAGTGTGTTGGTGACCAGCATGGATCCAGACCAGCCTGCGCATCCGCGCAGTCTGATCAGGATCCATGCTGTTTGCTTGTTTCTCTACTTGTAATAGAGTTGGTAAGCGAACAGCATGGATCCTGATCAGACTGTGCGGATGCACAGGCTGGTCTGGATCCATGCTGGTCGCAAACGCACTATGTTGGTTTTGTCGTGACGCGGCTCAAATGTAATACTTACAGAACCATCAGATGCACTAGCTCCCACCTTGTCCCCCCGGTGATTCCAACATACTTCAAATATCCCACCAGTTCCTCTGTAACTGTGTACTAAGGCTCCCGTCTGTTAAACAGAAAATATGAACGTTAATACTGAAAAACTGATAGATAACAGATTATTAGAAGATAGAAACTTTTTGTTACGCGGACCAAACCAACTGTCGAGAATGGTGGCGTGGACGAGTGGTTAACACGCGAGACTAGTAATTTAAGGATTGCTGAATGCATGGGTTCAAACCCTGTCAGGGGCAAGCCGTTGTTTCCTTGAGCAAGAAACTTTACAGTCAAAGCTTTTGTTACTGGTTGGTTCCAGGAACATACTGAGGGTGATTTTTAAATAAGCTTACAGCTTCCAACACAATCAAACTAAAATAAATTTGCATAAACCAACTGCCGAGGTATGACCAAATCAATTTTGGTGCCGATTCATCCCTTAAAACTGCTAATGCCAGACGCATTACAACATGCAATTAAATGTCTCAAGGATTGCACTACACCTGTTGGGGGACACTGACCTAAACAGTGCAATCAGACATTTACTGCATTTTCATTTATCTACTGAAATACCTAAATATTTACCATTGACTGGGCCAAATTCAAGCAAAGGCAATCCCACTAAATATTACTTGCAGGATACGACTTAAATATTACTTGCAGGATACGACTTAAGATAACATAGCAAGAAAATATTTGCTCAAATATAGGTCACCGACTTCATGTTTTCAAAGCAGAACCTTGGAATGGTAAATAAAACCAATCCTTCAAGAACTTCTCGTACAGATCCATAAACAAACGGAGCCGCATCTTTCCTTCCTATACCATCATTTGACAAGTAATCAGTACACATTAAACTATAAGTCTTCTCAATTTCATTCAAAGTCATATAAGTTCAGTATTTATCACTGAGACATGGATAAAGAAAATTCTCTATTTCTCAGTCAGACACAATGAGTCAACAAGTCCTTTCAATACAGCTATAATAGATGAAACAAAAAGCTGTAGCACAATTTGATCACACTGGGCAGCATTACTTTTACTAAAGACTATTTCTATAGAATGGTCGTCATATTTTATGATATTGAAGGCTAACTCACCACTGACAGAATTATTTGGTTGACTGATCTTCAATTTATTAAACCAAAGAAACATTTTTTTTCTGCAAATTTTCTGTGACCAGTCTATTGACATTTGTTTCACAAATTACAAGGTATATCCTGAAAGCACCATTTATGTTCATAATTCTTTCAAATGATTTATGTGGGGAAGTTGGCAGTTATTTGAGGATAAACAGTGGAACAATGGAATAAAAGATACTTGCCAGGTAAATGCCTATCCCTAGTGATGAATGTGAAGATTTGCTGAATTAAGTTTAGTTTTAACATATTCATTTAAGCCAAATAGTGAAATAAGTTCATGCAACTTATATATTGTCACCTTAGTGCAGTAATGGGTTAAGTCCTTCTAAATTTAATAGGATTTATCACTTATTACACAAATGTGATAATATATAACATTCAACATTTTGTTGTCAGTTGGATTAAAATGTCATTATTTTCATACTTACACTAACATTCCAAATATGAACACATTTATCAAAAGATCCGCTAGCAAGATATTTGCCGTCGGGACTGAAAGCTACGCTATATACGGGTTCCTGGTGTTTTGTGAGCGTGTGTATACAGGTACCCCTCTCTACCTCCCATAATCTCACTGTAGAGTCAAATGATGCGCTGAAAATCAGACCAAAAATGTTTTATTACTAAACAACTACCATGTAAGAAATATGAACTATCAAACCTGTGAATTACTTGATATATTTAAAGATGTATATAAAGCTATATCACTGCTGCTAACAATTTATACATTTTTTGTTAGAATTTTGAATCAGAATTATTTCAATATGCCTGTATGAAAGAAATATGTTGGCTAATTTTCTTTTGAGCTAATGGCCTATGCATTAAATCATTGCTAAAAGGTTAATTTAAACTTGAACTAGAAAGCAAAATATTTTGTTTCGCACATTTTATTCTGTTTTGTACAGTCATTTTTCCCCCTTTAAATACATGTAAAATACATGTAAGCTGAAAAAAGCTGTTTTCCCCAGCCCAAAATAGGTGTTTTTTTCTCCAAATAATGCTATATTATGCCCTTTTGCACATTCATTACCAGAAACATGACTAAATAGCAAATGATTTTTATCTGCTAGTTGATAAATTTATTTGACTGAAGGACAGAAAGCTGTCCCTATAGATAGCTTCTGCTATGTACCATGCATGTTAAATTGAATTGGAATTGAAAATTTTATAAAATATGTGCGTAAATTCCATTAACAGTTGTTGGATTATGATTTCAGGTTTACAAATATGTTTGGTACCCACCTAGCTAGTATCAAAGGAGCATTTGGATTGTCTGTGCCGGGCCCAGTTGGACTCCATTTTATAGTGTAGATCTCTTTGTTATGTGCTTGTAAATCATGCACACATGTATCTTGTTTCATACTCCATATCTGATAAAACAGAGAAAAATTTCAACACTCCATATGTGATAAAACATGGAAAGATTATATACACATTACATTATGCAATAAAAAAAATATATACAGTTTATATCAACAAATAATCAATGACCTACAATTTGAACTTATGCAATTTTACTTTAATTGTATTTCAACCAAATAGGATGCATTTACACAAAGTTTTGATAAAACCAGACTAAATTTGTGATCTCTACTGGTTGGAGATCACTAAAAATTGTGAAATCTGTATGGAAAAATGCACAAAAAGTGTCAGGTTGACCAAGTTAACCTGACCAATATGCAGTTCACATTTTTTTTCGTGATCTGACCAAATTACCTACCCAGTACTATTTCACCAAAAATAACACATCTAAAAAGGATTCTGAAAATACTGGTCATATCATAACTGTTGAAGATTTTACTTAACTAGTGGAGAAAGATCCAGCCACATCTTTTACCGATGACTGTTTCATTTGAACCTTTTGATATTGAAACCTCTTAAAACAACAATGGGCGGTTCTAAATTCAAAGCAGAGCACTAGTCGATTATACAAACATAACAAAGTAAACTTTCAGGGTGCTGATTGAAATTGAAAAACGCTTTTTTGTTGAATTGTGTGCGTAATGACAAAAAAAGAAATAGTACCTTCAATGTCATATCATCTGAACACGATGCCAGCAAGTTACCCTGAGGATCCCACTTGATTGCGTTAACTTCATTCTGAAATGACCAATGTTTTCTATATACATGTATTACATATTTAACCTTGAAATAGTATTTACATTCATTGTGTGATAAACATGCCCCAGGAAAACAATATTGGAGAATCACTTCTTAAGGCAGTTAGATATTTTATTCTTACCTTAGATATTTTATTCTTACCATTTTTCCAATTTTTCGTTTTTCAACCCAGATAAAACCATTCATCATTTTTTTTTTGGGGGGAAAGTACGTACTGACTTAATATCAAACAGTGCAGACCATGTTCAGACAGATCAGACACTATTGTGCCAGGTGATCTTGGTCCGCACTGGTTGCACATGTTAATTTAGTTGCTACCAGCTGGCTTAGGGTTAGGTTAAGAAAGTGCAACTAATTATAGTAATACTGATATATCTATATTCCTCGAGAACAACTCTTTCCTTCCCATACCAAGTGCCAAACTTCATGGGACCTTGTTTCTAAAGTCTACAACTAATCAAATGACTATTCAGACACTTTATGGGTACAGGTAGATCAAACCTGTAATCCCTATATATTTGTAGTTTATTTCAATTTACTGAATAATGCTGTGGCTGAACTAAGCTCTGGTAAACTCAAAGTGGCTTACTGTCTTCATCCGGTGGTTAAACTACCAACACCACCATTAACTGAACATGAACTTAACCCTTTCGCTGCCAGAGGGTTATTGTTTTATTGATCACCTATTTGCCAGAGGTTTTTCTAAGAAATTACTATATTATTAATTAATATAATTATCATTATTTGTTATTAGTATTATTATAATAATTATATATGTTTCCAAATCTGTTAGTATAATAATAATTATTGTCGATGGTATAATTTTCTTTATATTTATTATTATTTTTATTATTATTAATTTATTATAATTATTATCATTATAGAAACGGCAAAAGCCGTCCATATGGCAAATACGCCGAAAAAAACAGGGACAGCATAAGCCGTCCCTATGTCAGTGAAAGGGTTAATAATTATAATGAGAGACACTCAAAATATTGTGTACATAGAGCTTTCACTGATAGAGAAAACATGAATATATTACAGATAAATTTTCAACAATCAATGCAGATTTTGTAAACTGGTAATAACGTTTAAATATTTAATGAAATGTCTAACAAGAGCTGTCAGAAGGACAGCGCGCTCGACTTTTTTAGTGCTTGCCTATAAAACAAAACTTTGACAGTTAAGGGCACACAAGACTTTAACTAGGAATTTCTAAGTACAAATCAAGAAACATTTTCACAGAGTTATCTTCTCTTGCTTACAGATAGGTCTCATGATGGCACATAAGAACTCCAACTTCCAAAGTAATATCTCAAATGGTTAAGTCAACAAGTGGACAAGAATGAAAATCTTAACTGAGTTTCTAAGTCAACAAGAGCTGTCAGAAGGACAGCGCGCTCGACTTTTTTAGTGCTTGCCTATAAAACAAAACTTTGACAGTTAAGGGCACACAAGACTTTAACTAGGAATTTCTAAGTACAAATCAAGAAACATTTTCACAGAGTTATCTTCTCTTGCTTACAGATAGGTCTCATGATGGCACATAAGAACTCCAACTTCCAAAGTAATATCTCAAATGGTTAAGTCAACAAGTGGACAAGAATGAAAATTTTAACTGAGTTTCTAAGTCAAAAAGGGCCATAATTCAAATAAAATCCTTAACAGAATTACCTTCTCCTGCCCATGTTTTGGGACCATGATGGTAAACAAGTATTCCAACTTTCAATTTAATATCTCAACCAGTTCAGTCAAAAAGTTGACTGGTACAAAAAAGTTAACCAAGATTCTAAGTCGATAAAAGGCCTTAATTTTTAAAACAAATCCCTGACAGAGTTACCTTCTCTTGCGTACAGATGGGGTAATGATGTGAAATAGCATTAAAAGTTTCAAAGCAATATCTCAAAGGGTTAAGGCAATAAGTGGATTTTACCCATATTCAATGTATTTTCTAAGTCAAAAAGGGGCATAATTCTGTCAAAAACCTTGACAGAGTTATGTCCTCTTGTCTGTTGATGAAGGTCGTGATGGTAAACAAGTATGGTCAGTTTCAAAGCAATACCTCCAATGGTTTTGAAATAAAGTGAGGTGGTACAAAAAACTTAACCAAGCTCAATACACTTTCTAAGTCAAAAAAGGGCCATAATTCTGTCAAAAACCTTGACAGAGTTATGTACTCTTGTCTGTAGATGGAGGTTATGATGGTGAACAAGTATGGTAAGTTTCAAAGCCATACTTGTAATACTTCTGAAATAAAGTGGGGTGGTACGAAAAACTTAACCAAGGTGTGACGCCAACGCCGACGCCGACGCCAACGCCGACGCCGACGCCGACGCCGGGGCGAGTAGGATAGCTCCCCTTTTCATAGAAAAGTCGAGCTAAAAAGGGCCATAATTCAAATAAAATCCTTAACAGAATTACCTTCTCCTGCCCATGTTTTGGGACCATGATGGTAAACAAGTATTCCAACTTTCAAATTAATATCTCAAACAGTTCAGTCAAAAAGTGGACTGGTACTAAAAACTTAACCAAGATTCTAAGTCGATAAAAGGCCTTAATTTTTAAAACAAATCCCTGACAGAGTTACCTTCTCTTGCGTACAGATGGGGGTAATGATGTGAAATAGCATTAAAAGTTTCAAAGCAATATCTCAAAGGGTTAAGGCAATAAGTGGATTTTACCCATATTCAATGTATTTTCTAAGTCAAAAAGGGGCATAATTCTGTCAAAAACCTTGACAGAGTTATGTCCTCTTGTCTGTTGATGAAGGTCGTGATGGTAAACAAGTATGGTCAGTTTCAAAGCAATACCTCCAATGGTTTTGAAATAAAGTGAGGTGGTACAAAAAACTTAACCAAGCTCAATACACTTTCTAAGTCAAAAAAGGGCCATAATTCTGTCAAAAACCTTGACAGAGTTATGTACTCTTGTCTGTAGATGGAGGTTATGATGGTGAACAAGTATGGTAAGTTTCAAAGCCATACTTGTAATACTTCTGAAATAAAGTGGGGTGGTACGAAAAACTTAACCAAGGTGTGACGCCAACGCTAACGCCGACGCCGACGCCGGGGCGAGTAGGATAGCTCCCCTTTTCATAGAAAAGTCGAGCTAAAAATGATCATATGAAAGCTAACTTTAATTGCATTCATTTTGTTAATTAGCATTTCATTATAGAAAGAACAAAAAAAAAGCCCCTCAAAAAACACCCTGTGCATTAATGAACAATAGCTATAAACATATAATTATTACGCAGTTATGCATGTTTTGCACCTATGACATGATGAACATCAGGTACGTAGGTGGAATATTAATATACAAGAGCTGTCAGAAGGACAGCGCGCTTGACTTTTTTAGTGCTTGCCTATAAAACAAAACTTTGACAGTTAAGGGCACACAAGACTTTAACTAGGAATTTCTAAGTACAAATCAAGAAACATTTTCACAGAGTTATCTTCTCTTGCTTACAGATAGGTCTCATGATGGCACATAAGAACTCCAACTTCCAAAGTAATATCTCAAATGGTTAGGTCAACAAGTGGACAAGAATGAAAATTTTAACTGAGTTTCTAAGTCAAAAAGGGCCATAATTCAAATAAAATCCTTAACAGAATTACCTTCTCCTGCCCATGTTTGGGACCATGATGGTAAACAAGTATTCCAACTTTCAATTTAATATCTCAACCAGTTCAGTCAAAAAGTTGACTGGTACAAAAAACTTAACCAAGATTCTAAGTCGATAAAAGGCCTTAATTTTTAAAACAAATCCCTGACAGAGTTACCTTCTCTTGCGTACAGATGGGGGTAATGATGTGAAATAGCATTAAAAGTTTCAAAGCAATATCTCAAAGGGTTAAGCAATAAGTGGATTTTACCCATATTCAATGTATTTTCTAAGTCAAAAAGGGGCATAATTCTGTCAAAAACCTTGACAGAGTTATGTCCTCTTGTCTGTTGATGAAGGTCGTGATGGTAAACAAGTATGGTCAGTTTCAAAGCAATACCTCCAATGGTTTTGAAATAAAGTGAGGTGGTACAAAAAACTTAACCAAGCTCAATACACTTTCTAAGTCAAAAAAGGGCCATAATTCTGTCAAAAACCTTGACAGAGTTATGTACTCTTGTCTGTAGATGGAGGTTATGATGGTGAACAAGTATGGTAAGTTTCAAAGCCATACTTGTAATACTTCTGAAATAAAGTGGGGTGGTACGAAAAACTTAACCAAGGTGTGACGCCGACGCCGACGCCGGGGCGAGTAGGATAGCTCCCCTTTTCATAGAAAAGTCGAGCTAAAAATGATATATATTATCTGTATTATCAACATTTGTCATCTGATTTTTTTTTTTTTTTACATAACAGGACCATAATTTTTTTCCCAGATATTTGAACTTCTGAGCAATTTCACCTACTCCAGTTTTCCAGAATAATTATTTTTATTGTTATTAATTTATTTGTTAAAATGACCTAAAAATGAAAAGTAATAAAACTCAAAGCAAGCTAAGAATTGCACAAAAAATATATATATAAGAAAATAAAAAATATATATACATGTATATATTTCACATATTTTCCCTGTCCAAGTTGAACTATGTAATTTTCTTAGGCTTTTGGACTTCAGTGGAGCTCCTTTAAGATTATTTAATCAATGTATTACTATTTAACAGAATTTTCATGAAAAGCAAAAATATAAAGCTATTTCATTGTACTTCTTGCTTATTGAATTTTAATCAGTTAGATATAATTCTGATATAACATATATCACCTAAAATTATATCACTCACAGCCAACAAGATCTCTTTATAATATATACATACATATAATTACACTTATTTCTTTGTAATTTTGACTCAGGAATATGTTTTTTGTTAAAAAATTATTTTTTTTAAATTTGAATTGGTTGATGTGTTTGCACAAATATTCGTAATAGTTTCATAATGAAAGGGTGACAGGCTATTCCCGACTCAAAACAACGTAGACAGCTCTAACACTATACTTACAGTATGTCCCTGGAATGTCTTAATGGGCCGATCACAGCCTAGTTTATTTACTTGAATACACTGATCTGTAGAACACGAGGCAAAACTGTTATTCGTCTGCCAGTCTACATCGAGGGCAGGCGCTGTAAGAACAATGATAGACATTATTTTATAATATCATCATTAAAACCAAAATTAATTTCATGGCAGAGCAGGCATTGTTTTTCATGTATCACCAGTTTAAGAAGTAGCCAGTATAAAGCCATGTCAGCCTGCACATCTTTGCCGTCTGACCAGACTATCTATAATGAAATGTTGGTAACTTAACTTTTGTATTTTAATGTTGAAACCCCTGAATTTTCAAATGGAGAGTTCCAAATGTAAAGTTGGTAAAAATCAATCAGCAAAAATTCAGCTGGTTAAGGGTTTTGAATAAGAATTAATACAACAGTCATTCCAACAATTTTAGCATATTTCCAATTATGAACCATTTTGTCTTAATAAATATTAATTTCAAACATATCACTTGCAGGTGCTTTTCCACAACACAAGGACAAAATATTCCTTTACCAATCTTCATAAACGCATCATCATATATATTTTGCATTAGTTTAATTTATATAAATAACATAAAAGTGAGACACAAAATTGTTAAAATTTCGGTATATCTGTACTAAATAATCCTGGAAAACAGAGCCTACTTATTTCAATGACAATGTAAACAAACGTGATCATCCTCATAAACAAAGAAGACATATTATATCCAATTGTTTCCTTTTTAATACCTTACTATTGATTCATTCTTCTTGCGATGAAAACATATTGAAGAAAAATATCTAAAGTAGCTATTAGTATTATTACATACAATGTACAAGTTAAAACTAATCAACATTTCACGCAAACTAAAAATAGAACAAATTTAGCCAATTCAACACATACTGAATCTTGAAATGTCGTGACATGTCATTTTACGGGAAAAGTTTCTGGGAAAACATATAACAAGAGCTGTCCGTAAGACAGCGCGCTCGACTTTTTTATTGCTTGCCAATAAAAAAAGTTTTTGCAGTAAAAGGCAATACAAGAACCAAGATTCTAAGTCGATAAAAGGCCTTAATTTTTAAAACAAATCCTTGACAGAGTTACCTTCTCTTGCGTACAGATGGGGGTAATGATGTGAAATAGCATTAAAAGTTTCAAAGCAATATCTCAAAGGGTTAAGGCAATAAGTGGATTTTACCCATATTCAATGTATTTTCTAAGTCAAAAAGGGGCATAATTCTGTCAAAAACCTTGACAGAGTTATGTACTCTTGTCTGTAGATGGAGGTTATGATGGTGAACAAGTATGGTAAGTTTCAAAGCCATACTTGTAATACTTCTGAAATAAAGTGGGGTGGTACGAAAAACTTAACCAAGGTGTGACGCCAACGCCGACGCCGACGCCGGGGCGAGTAGGATAGCTCCCCTTTTCATAGAAAAGTCGAGCTAAAAATAGTATATTTTCTAATCAATTAACCTCAGAATGTACTCACCAGAATGAAAGGAAAACTGTTGAGTACATCGCCCTGAGCTAGCATCCCATATAATTGTTGTCTGAAAAAGGCAAAGTAAATTATTGTTAACTCATTTGTCCTTCAGATTTAATGGATCTATAATTATATGATGTCCGTAGAACACAATTGCTACCACACTCCACTGTTTTGTCAGTCTCAGGCAAACAGCTGGACACCCTTACAATGGGACAGACAAGGGCAAATCTATATGCTTCCCTCTACTATTTGTAACAATGGCATAAAAATTCAAGAATCTGCATTATGTACGATGTAAATGAGGCGCATTTTGGTAATTTGGTAAGTGGGGGGAGCAAAATTTTATCAAACCAAACAGTAAAGTCAAATGGTTACTTTCTATTTCTTACCCATCGTATAACCAGGATACCCTTTTGTGCATTTTTTCAGGCACAGAGTGAAACCACTGACCATCAACATGTTAGCTTGATTTATAACTCAAGAAACAAAACTTCACTTCCCCTATCTGACCCCACAGTGAGGATCAAGGTGATTAACTTATGATTATGCCATCGTAAGATCTCTCCTGAGTCCTGCCAACGCTGAAACCCCATATAGTACCACATTTATCATTGTAATAAACATCCCACTAACTTATCTTGAACAGTGCAATATTCACTCCCCTGCCCAAATGGGAGATGTTCACTTCCTATGTTGCTTGCCTTATAAATGTTTTGCGACATGCCTTCAGAAATTCCTGGATTCAACACTTTTTCACCATCGAAAAAAAGTCGAACTAAAAACATTTAAACCATATAAATGGCATCAGTAGCTTTTCATTGTTAAAAAACCTGAAACCTTTGCTGCGGGATCATAGAGTCCAGCCCTACTAAGGACACAAAAGAAATCAGTACAGTCATGTTGACCATGCCAACTTAACAGTGACTAACAACAAATCGACAGAACTTGTTTTAAAAATTAAAGTGTCATAAATGCATTTTTAACTAAAAATAAAACATACATAGGAAATTGATAATTCAACTTACTTTATCTACTCCAGCACTTAAAATATAATTGCCCTGTTTATTCCACTTTAATGCAAATATAGGACCTTTATGTTGACCTAATGTATTCAGCAACCGACCTGAAAACACAACATATGCATTCAAATATTACAAATACAAATGTCAATGCTTAAGCTATATATGATAAATCATTCATTTTTTTTTCACACCACAAAAACACCATATTACCCCAGTGTGAGGATATCACAACTGTATATAGAAACTGTGGCAAAACAATCTTGTGAGGTGACAAGTGTTTTAAAGGTACATATGTCCTATATAGGTTGCATGTTATAACAGTGCATGCTGCTTTCACATTAAATTCATTCTGGTGGCTAGAAATATATATATAAACCAAACAAATAAAGTGCAAGCTACAAGTCTTTAAAGCTTCCCAGGGATGACTTTTTTAATCCAGATATTTTTGTAAGTTGCTGATTAGGAGAGGGGGGCTGAGGTGTCTGGGGGTGTTGGGGGGATGTAGACAGTGATAATTATTGCACTTATATCTCATGAATTGCTGCTTTCAAAGTACATGTATATGCAATTTACACCTTTTTACTATTGTTTTAATTGCATTTTAAGGGTCTCCCACATTTTGCAGAATACTTTATATAATGTATAAAACTGTAAACACTAAATTGTAAAATATAAACTTGATTCATGGCTGTTTACATAAAATTCTGGCATGCAGTTACTTTCAGTTACTTCAATTGTGTCAACCATATTTTTTTAATAAGTTTGGACTTAATATTATTACATGTATACAATATAGAAAAATTATTTATAGGTAAATGCAAACACATTAAAAAAACCCAGTTTTTTTGGATAAAGAAATCTGTTTTACACCTTTGCAAAGAAAGCAAGACCTTAAATAATACAAATAGCTTTTGCGTATGCACCTATACATTTAGAAACAAAACAAAAACTCTATTTATATTTCAAACAATATATTATATAAATGCTCAAGTTTTTACCATTCCTATTAACCTCAAATAGTACAAATAGCTTTTGCTTATGCACAAATAAATTTAGAAACAAAACAAAAACTCAATTTATATTTCAAGCTGTTATTTTCAAATAATATCTTAAAATAAATGCTATGCACTATGCTATATAAATTTAGAAACAAAACAAAAACTCTATTTATATTTCAAGCTATTATTTTTCAAACAATATCTTAAAATAAATGCTAATGTTTTTATCATTCCTATAAACCAAATTGCACTATGCCATATAAATTTAGAAACAAAACAAAAACTCTATCAATATTTCAAGCTGTTATTTTTCAAACAATATCTTATATAAATGCTAATGTTTTTTATCATTCCTATTTAACAAATTGCACTACGCCATTAACTATATTGCACTACCAATGACGAGATTAGAGGACAATTAACAAAATGTATTGAATGTATAGAAACCTTCAATGATGAAAGCTTGCATGTTAACAGCTACTTAGAACCGAGTTCAATATAAAACATTACTCTCGAAATTATTACCTAAATGATGTTTACATCTCAATAAAATCAGCATGTAATCTGTGCCTCACGCTTTGTTCCAGAAGTCAACGTATATAAAAATTGGTTTCTAAACTCCTTATTGTTACCTAGTTTCCTTTGTTTTCATATATACTTGCAGTTTTGATTAAAAAAAAGACAAAAATATTGCTGTATTTTTCTCTATGGAAATTAGTTTCTTACAATTAGTTTCTTACAAAATATGAAACCTTGACACCTTGGGAAATTTCATATTAGTTGACATCAACAGATTGTTTTTATGTTTTTAATTCCTATATAACACTATATATATAAGAATCTTACACTGGCTGCCAGTACAGACCGGTATATCTAGCTAGAGGGTAACTGTTAACGGCAGTAATGAGCCTCTGCAGAGTTTCGCTAAACAGTTACTCGAGAGCTAGATATTCCAGTCTGTAACGACAACCGAAGTTTTATTTTTTTTCTTGCATATGACATATCAATTATTTTCAGAACAGAAATTTCGAAAACTGATATTCTTAATACGTTCTTTTTTCTTATAGAATCATATGAACTTACAACTTTATTCATAATGTTAAAATGATGTCATCCTAGAACGCAATTCATTCTTAAAAGGCGCGCGGCAATGACATCATTTAAAGCATGTGACTTTTCTTACATGTCTAACAGGGCTAACTGACAAACACTTACATGTATATACTTGATCATCAATACTAAAAATATCCCATCTTTTTTCTATTTCATTGTAACATGAAAATAACATTTTACCATATATTTGCCCTATACGTTAATGAGAGATGAAAAAAGACTGATGAAGGGGAAAATATCTCAAGGTTATTTCAAATGGAACAAGATACTGATAAAAACAATTGTTTTATTTTAGGCTTGCTTATTAAGGAAACACTGCGCAATAAAAATAATGAAAACAAATTTTTAAATGCTAAAAAGGAAGAATTATCTAACAGGTTACATTACCAACAAAGTTCATCAGCTCAAGGTTATATAAACACTGTGACATAATGTCACACAATTAATTAGCTCAAATTTCCTAACAACTTCGCAATAGTTAATCCTATTTATAGCAATGTTAACAATTAGGTTGGTATTCAAATTACGGTAAGGACATTTATATAATTTGCAAAGGCGACAGAGGAGGGTGTGTGGGTGTAGAGGTTTAAGGATGAAGGGTGTAAATGGAATATGGCATGAGGATCAGGATTCAGGAAGGGAGTGGTTCTTGGCCAAAATGCATTAACTCAATTGATAAAACATTTGTTTTTCAGGGGTTATTTTCTATCTCGTAACAAAATCTTAATAATATAGTAAACTATTTCAATTTCGGTCGGACTCTATGACACAGTTACGTAAAAATAGCATTCCACTATTGAAAGAAAACACTTGACCTAACAATGAATAGCTTAAATTCAAAGCCAGACAAGTCAAAGCACATGATTGGAACTTTTAGGGACGCAAATATGAAGAAAACAATATTTACCATCTGTACTCCATAACCTGGCATAACCGTCATAGGATCCAGTCGCTAAAAATGTACCATCAAACTGAAAATAGAACATACAATCTTCACAGTGCAAGTACGTAAAACATACATAGGCCTTAGATGCGACATATAGTCTTGATGTAGTAGACATTTGTGCTAAAGTATTTTAAAAACCTCTCAATGCATGACAAAGTTACAAATGTTGTGTAATTGACAAAACACATCACGGACAGCCATACAGACAGAGAGAGACGGTGAGATTTTAATATGCCGCCCTTTGGGGGCATAAAAGGAGCTTTTTAAATATTTATTGATCAGACTAAAAGCAATCAAGAAATATTGTAAATGTGAAGAGTCTTTGCAACAAATTTATAATTCTATATATCTACACATTTGCTTTCTATGACTTGCTAAAATTAAAACAATTCATAAAGTAGCTGCTATAAAAACTTGTATATAGAATAAAGATGATATAAACATTATATGACTATCTATTGGAAATGAATGTTACAAACTTGCAGTATTATAAATGATTAAATAAGGTATCAGGTTCAAATTAGAATTCAATTGTATTAACAAATTCAACAAAACAGAATTTTCAATGACTTGAACCATTGTCTCATTTTAGTTTTATACAGTGTCATTTCTTTAATGCGTTATGCCAATCACAATGGTTATATCGGACACATTTTACATTCACATCCTTTATGTATCGAACAGAACTGAAATAGTAATATCTAATCAATGATTTACTTCAGAAATCCCCATTTCTCAAGTCATTCCATTGAATAAGCAATTAACACAACCTTTCTCTACTTACATATCACAGTTCATATAAGGATAGTGTAGTTCACAGTTTGTCAAAATGTGATAAAGTATAATAAAATATTCACAGTTTGTGAGGCCTTGTAGTTAGAAATGCGATATACGTATGAAAAAGAAGTAAACTCAAAACAGGGTGTTACGCAATTCACAACTGCCTAGACCATATATTGACTTTCCAGCAAGATTTCCTGTAGACTTCCATGACTGTTTTTCATACGTCTTTTTTGGCTAGTCATTCAGACTGGTTGACCAATGTTGACATTTATGCAAGATTTCCAGTGCACTCTTAATGATTTTCATTTTCATTTTTTTTTTAGATGGTTAGATATTCAGTCCGACTGGTTACATATTCAGTCCGACTGGTTAGATATTCAGTCTGACTGGTTAGATATTCAGTCTGACTGGTTAGATATTTAGTCCGACTGTTTACATATTCAGTCCGAATGGTTAGATATTCAGTTTAACTGGTTAGATATTCAGTCTGACTGGTTAGATATTCAGTCTGACTGGTTAGATACTCGGTCAGACTGGTTAGATGTTCAGTCAGACTGGTTAGATATTCAGTCAGACTGGTTCATTTTTTTTTTTTTTAGATGGTTAGATATTCAGTCCGACTGGTTACATATTCAGTCCGACTGGTTAGATATTCAGTCCGACTGGTTAGATATTTAGTCCGACTGTTTACATATTCAGTCCGAATGGTTAGATATTCAGTTTAACTGGTTAGATATTCAGTCTGACTGGTTAGATATTCAGTCAGACTGGTTTAGATGTTCAGTTAGACTGGTCAGATATTCAGTCAGACTGGTCAGATAATCAGTTAGACTGGTTAGATTTTCAGTCAGGCTGGTTGATTATTTGGTCAGATGGTTTGGCATAATACACTTATTGATTTGCAATAACCAACCATGGAAATGTACCTTTTAATAGAGTTTTTGAGCTAATAGTACTATACTCACATTCCAGTCTAAAGAAGTAACATCTTTGTTGCTAGGCACCTCAGCCCCACCTTTCTGTATACAGTGACGTAAAACTAGTTGATTTGCATTTCCACTATTATCGTTCATATTCCATATTCTAGCAGTCGAGTCCCCAGACCTGTAAATATAAATGTGCATTCTTCATTATCATGCAAAGAAGTTAAGACTGAAATGCTCAGATCACTTTTTCCAGTCACCGGTTTCCATAGAAACACTCACACCCTTCCACACTTCTATTAGAGAAGAAAGATCTCCCGTGATCCAATGTAAACTATTCCCGCCCACAAGCAGGTATCAAAGAACGACAGTTTGTTGAATGCTTGATTAATATCTTCCACACATAAAAGAAAAAAGACCCTGGCAAGATTAAAAGTTATCTGATCTAAAATTCATTCCTTCATTGTTAATATTAAAAGCAAATATTTCATTCCTAGATCTGAAATTATTACAAGTACTGTTTTGCTGACTGGGCAACATTTCAAATTTACATTTTCGTATCATGGACTGTTCCATTAATGGAAGCTGAACAAGTCCATATATGTCTGCAGTTAGTATTTTAGAGATCAAAATTTCGCTGGTTCACTCGTAATTATAGGTAAAAGTTAAGAGAATACCATGTAGAAGGAGTGGGAAAATGTTGCCTGCACCAGGATGAGGGATTCTTAAAAAAACATTTTTTTCGATGCCTGGTATTTGCTAACAAGAACCATTAAATGTGTGTAAAATGCAATCCTGTTTATACATCGTTTTAATTTCTACTGAATCACTGGCCTCTCTTAAATATTTGAAATAGCAATGCTATCAGTATTTTCATATTGATAGAGAAAGACATTATATATTCAGTCTGCACAGACTTTGTATTAACTTTGGCTGCTGAATAATAGTATTTTAATATTTGTATATCCAAATCCTATTAATTAACAATAGTCAGTTCCTGAAAGAAAAAACTTTTGTTTTATGTCTTATATGTCAAAATATTTTTAGGTCATAATGACCTTCACCCCCTATGACCTCTAAGTGGTTCATGCAGGTAAAGGGCAATGTCAAGGTCAACACATTTGTGAAGTCTAAAGCCCCTGTATGGGATGACTTTCTTATTAAGGCCACAGTAAATAACTGGAAGTATATGTACCTTTTTAAGTCAGGAATATGGAGGGTGAAGTTGGAAGGATTTTTGTGTTATGTCAAGGTTTAAGTTGGTAACAAACGGACAGACAGACAAAAAACAATATCATCTCCCAATCAACTGATATCCGAGCACAAGAAGTGACACATTTATACATTATCTAACTAACGATATTCTTGCATGTAGGTTAAAAAACATCAGGTGTTAAATGGAAAATATACCTTGCCTAAACAACAAAATGACAATAATACCATATGGCACTTATAAAGAAAACTGCCAATAGTTTCTTACTTGAAGAACTTATATTAATTCTCAGAGAAACCATTCCCATACAGTAACCTATATCTAATTAGACCAGGAATTCTGGGAAATTAGTATTTTCTAGATCTTCTTGGGTAAAGAATTGCATAACATTTTTATGACTTCACAATATCAAAAATAAGGTAGTGTAAAAATGTCAACCATTGTGAAAAGGTCATCCTCCTTTTTCAAAGCAATAACTGTATCATATAGAATATTACCTAAGAATAAATAAAAGATGGAAAGCAATTTAGAATGAGCTATTTCATTTTCTACATCCAATACTGATACATTTTTAAATGTTCAATGCTACGTTGTTTATAACTTTGTACATAATAATACTCCACTGTATGGATGCAAACAGTCATAATGATTTTTTGGACTATTGGCAAATATAGAAAGTGAGTTCATTATTGCAATCTATAATAAACTAGATTAAAGATCCTCAATTTAATGAACCCTCTTACTCACAATGGACTGTTCTGAATTCAATGCAATGACAAGTCCATTTTGCAAATTTAGCATGAGATTAAGTATAACAGCCTTTGAGGACATTTATCAGAAGTGACATGCTATATTGGGCCCTATATTTAATATACTACGCAACAAAATGAAACAACATGGCCATATTTTATTCATTTTTTGCTGAAACATCGTGTATTTAATGAATTTCCTGCCTACATAAGATGACAGATTTTTCATATATGACATGTAATTACAGTTCAAATGGCAGTTGCAGCCACCAGTCATCATTAATGTAGGACAAGTAATAATTAGTAAGATAGATCAGAAATTTACAGAAATATACTGTTAAAATCCCTGGGGGATGTTGTTTCCAATTATTCAATTACAAAAAACTTTCATCAGCTGCCATACAGTACTGACTCACATTAATTAATATTTATAGATATATTATATATCTGTGGATATATCACTAAGGCAACAGTGTTATGGCATATCAAAGTATGTTTTTCAAAATATGTACAGGTCCGTTCTGTTTATACATTATTGTATGTCCTCCGTGGCTAGGTGGTTAGGGTCACAGACTTCAAACCACTTGCCTCTCATTACTGTGTGTTTTGAATCTTATCGGGTACTTTGGGTTCTTTCATGTAACTGAGGAAGCTATTCTGCTTGTACCTGAAATAATGCGCAAAGGGGCCAGCTGAGGTCTTCCTGCAAAGTTGCCACATGATCTTATAAGTGCTAGTATGACTTAAAATCCAACACAAACAAACAATAAACAAAACATATTGTATGATGTAACAGTCATATGATTTGTTTTGTATAATAAGTTTAGCATATTGTTACACCCATACATTAAGAGCTATAGAACACCAGTATAACCAGGCATGTCATCACAACACTTGAACTTTCTTACTAGACAGATCCATAGTACAATCTCTTTCAAGATGAGTGAATGTTAATGGTATCATTTTATATTTTTTGATGTTTCATGTTTGTTTTATCAACCAAACATACCTAATAAACTGTCGTGTTGTTGACAAAGCCTTTGAAAAAAGGTTTGACCATAGTGATACTGGGAATGACTACTAGTGATGGAAATCGGATGAAATTTGTTCCAATCGATCATCGGTTAAGTCGGATGGGACTTAATCGATAACTTTTTGAATAAAGTCGCGTTAAAAAGAAATAGGGAGGTATCATTTCTTCCCAATCTTCCCAAGGCACTTGATAACATTCAGTAACATGAACTTCATTTTCCACTTTTCAACATAGTTTTAACCTTATATAGTCATAATTTTACGAAAAAGATTTTATTTTTCAATGGATGTCAAATAATAACATTCAAATCACATTATATTACTATTGATTACATTCACGTATTGATCCTGTTCAACTCCAAATTGTCTTTGAGATGATTTTTTGCGATCGGTGAGGTGTTCTTTAAATAACATTAACATCAGAATTAATTCCCTTTGATACTTTACTGCAGTAAGCATTTTCGACGACGTCGCGGAACAATTTTTTTGTAAATCGATTCTTGTCGCTTTACATAACAGTAAATGATTATCGGCGACTTGCGGCAATCGGAACATCACTAATGACTACCTGGTAGACAACGCAGTTACGCTAGAGTTTGGAAAGTATTTTATCTATAAATTGCTATTGGAAATGAAAAGTGACTACGAACCTATCATTGTCATTAATTATAAAACATGTCCTTCACATTCAAAATTCAAGTTTTGTAATATATATAATTAATAATGAATATTTACAACTGGCACTTGTGTCAAATTAACATTTAATGCAATTATATTAAGCTGTTTATTTTGGGTCATTTTATATAATGTTGACTGGACATTTACAATATTGTTACAAATATAGCAGACAATTGAACAATTAGGACAGTAAGATTCTCCGCTATCATCTTTCTCTGTATTTGTATTCTATATACAGATACACTATTCTTACTTGACCTTATGAACTTCAATGAAGAAATGATTATTTACATGTCACTCAAAGCATGTCACTGGAGTATGTTGACAGTTTAATTTAACATACTGGTCATACATATGTATATGTATATAAACCTATTTAACAATTACCTTTACTGCAACAGACTTAACCCACATCAAACTTTCTTTTGTTGCTCCTATGAGATTTCAATATCAACATACTTGATGGCAAATGGTCACTGACCGAAATGAGCCAAGTTAAGCCTCTATTCAAGACAATAATCATACCATTAATCAATGCCAAGAAATATCTGCCAGTATCTACCCATCACATATTCGAATTTTTAGAACCATTTAATAATTTTTTGAAGATAATATACAGTGACTTAAATGACTAAATAATGTCACAAAGGTGGTGGGGCTTTGTGGTTAATATGCCTGCCTCTCAACGAAGGAAACATAGGTCCGAGATCTACCTGGATCCAAACCATGTAACTGTATCCTAGCTTAAATGACAGTGATACTGGTTAGTTTGAAAATGGTTAATAATAAAAACTTGCAATAATTTGCTAAACAATTAACCTGAAATAACTTGTTTTGAAATTGTTTCAAACAATGGCAGTATGACTTGTGATGTTTCTATTCTTGAAATTATGTTCTTTTGTACAACTAGATCACCCACACATTGCATTCTATGCATTACAAGTTTACAACAGTGCAGTGATTTAAAGGGAGCTAGCTTACCCAGATGCTAAGAGATCGTTGACAGGGTTCCATGCACAGATGAACACTTCAGACTCATGACCACGCAGCACTGTTGCTTTACTACTGGGTATTTCTACACCTCCATCCACCTCCATACTTTCTCCCGTGTGATTGGCTGAAAATATATAAAACAATCAAAATGATTGGCTGAAAATATATAAAACAATCAAAATGATTGGCTGAAAATATATAAAACAATCAAAATGATTGGCTGAATATATATAAAACAATCAAAATAATTGGCTGAAAATATATAAAACAATCAAAATGATTGGCTGAATATATATATATGAAACAATCAAAATAATTGGTTGAAAATGTAAATATAATATAACATTGCCACTTGCAGAATAAAGAACAGTAAGTGTTGAACTTTGCAAATATGGGTTTTCCCCCATTTAATCCCAGGGTTTATCGATATAGCTTCACTGCATGCAACAGTATTAGCAAAATATAGGGTAACAATGTAAATGAAAACCTCCTGATATGTAACTCTATTCTAGGGACGATACTGACTTTCCAGTGATGACTGCTTAAATTGTAACTTGGAAATTATCTTAACTGCCTAAGCATAAAAAAACACTTGTGATTACAATTTACTATGATGCATCAATATACAGTGGTATACAACAGAACGTTATGACTTTTAGCCTTTCTACTACCCAGACAACAAGTGCAGACCAAGGTCATGGTTTGCACTGTACTATTTTGAAATTTCCCCTAGAATTGATGGTTACATCAAGATTGACAAGTCCTTTTCAGATATTTAGCATGGTAGGGTTTAATAGCAAAACTATATACACAGATCAATCAATATACATGTATTCATATTAATCACAGAGTTGTCATTCAGGACTGATGGCTACCTTTACCAGCCAGTGTGTGTCTAACTCTAATTCCCCATTAAATACATTTTTCACATTTATGTATGCATACTTTTATTGATAAGGAATTTAACCTTATTTCTGTCCCGGCTACACACACCTACACACTTTCCAGATTTAAATGAACTGGTGGAGGAAGAATGCAATGTTCCCCTTCCCTTTGTATCTTATATGAGGACCAACCAGGCAATTTAAATTGACCTGCACTGAGCTTCTGTAACCTGAGACCTTCTCATATGAATGAATTCTGGCCTTCTTCTTTTTTGTTGGGTTTTATGTTGCACCAACACTAGTATAGGTCTTATAGAAACTTTCTAGTTTTACTGATGGAGGAAGACCATAGGTATCCTCTGACACATGAAAGAATCCAAAGTCCCTGTCCTGATTTAAATACCCACATTGGTGAGGGGCAAGTGGTTTGAAGTCAATGACCTTACCCACACGGCAATGGATACCACTAGGTCTGCTCCTTTAAACTGCTGGTTGCATAAATTTCATATGAGCCGCATCACGACAAAACCGCGCAGTCTGATCAGGATCCATGCTGTTCGCTTAAAAACCCTATAGCAAGTAGAGAAACTGATAGCGAACAGCATTGTTCCTGTTCAGACTGCGCGGATGCACAGGCTGGTCTGGATCCATGCTGGTGGCAAACGCAGTATGTTGGTTTTGTCGTGACACGGCTCATATTTAATGTAAACTTAAATCACCAGCAATAATTTTAAAATCGAAAGCAAAGAAGTCAATAACATATTCTAATTTAGACGGTTTAGTATTTTATGGTTCAAAAAGTTCAATAAACTGAATAATTCAGACACCGAATAAAATTACAGTGACCTGTCACCTATAGGGAAAGCCAGCTGTTCTTTTGAGATTATTAAAACTTTAATACTTCTATATCCCCACATCCCTAAAGAAATTTGTCATTCATATAGAAGAATTGTTGTTTGCATTATATTTTACTTAGGTATCACGCACATTATGAAATAAAGTGGCTCTTGTTTATATAGATATAAAAATATCACACAATTCAAAAACTTCAGTATTTCAAGTAAACAACAAAATTCAATTTATTTTTTTTCTAATGAAAAAAAACCGAATTGTAACAAAGCAATGGCTGTTTGATATGATAAAACAATTAAAATGTCACTTGCTAGTTTTTCTTACTTTATATACATCTTATTCAAACTTTATTACAGGTAAGAAGAAAAGCTTTTTCACTCCTCATACACTTTAACAGTCTTACAAGGTTAACAGCCTAGTATTTGTGCAGTTTTTAAGTAGTTTACTTGACCTTTTTACCGGATCTGGCGAGATAGTGATACCTGCCTACCCTACAAAATAATAATGGTTAATAGGTTAACGGCAGGAGTGCATTTCCCCTCCATGTTAAAATAGACTAATCCTAACAACTAGGATGTAAACTGAATTTTAGACAAGGCGGGGCCACCACTTATTGTGGCAATAAATAGAAAATGATTCATGATTCAAGCATAACAACCAGCCTTTGTTTGCCTCGTGTCAATAAACTTACTAAGTTCTTAAAAGCAAAAACTTGCCCTAACTAAGCATATTTTAGACAGCATTTGTTTTGTGCATTGGTAGTATTAATTAACATTTTATAGCAGTAATGGATGTCAATTATTCCATGCTGAAATGCATTATTTCATGACACAATTTTAAGGAACACAGCCGACTTATACAGATGGACATTTTTAATTGACGAACGCATCACAGTTAAAAAATCATTAACTCAACACTGCAGTCTGAAGAACAGCTTTATCCCCTACTACAGACCCCCTCAACCCTACAAAGCATAACAAAAGATTTTATTTTCTTTCCTCTTTATATTTTATGTTAGTTTTCAATTGTTTTCAAAATTGTTTTGAAATAAAGGTCATTATTTCTATGATGTTAAAACTACATGTACATGTAGCATTATTTCAACCAAAATCAAGCACCATGCACCAACCTTCAACAAACTGGTAGAATATCTTTTTTGTACTTGTAAAGTAGACGCATGTACATACAAAAGAATAGGGGTGTCACGGTTAGAAAAAAATGCTAACTGTTTAAACGGCGACGTAATAACCGTGTTAAACATTTAACCGACCGTACCAATAAAATCCTTAAGATTTCCAATATTAACTTTGTTTCTTTAAGACAAGATATGCCATTTTGTTCATATTTTGTTGTACATAGGAGTAACTATTTTCCACCAGGGTTGAATACGCCATACCATATTCGATCAGATCGGAAAAAATACATTTTTGAGTACAACTAAAATACAAACAATTGTCATATCTTGTCATAAAAAATGAAGGTAATATTTAAAATCAATTTAAAACTTTTCAAACAATAGCCTCGGTTACCAGTTATTGAATTTTCTGACCGGTTTTTAGTTTAAAACTGACTGTACGCGTTGAAACGGATAAACATGACACCCCTACAAAAGAATGATTATTGATTAAAATAACTGTTATGCGTTAATTATACTTTAATTAATACAAGACCCCTGAAAAATCATTAAATAATCAAAAGCCTTTTAACAATCAATAAATCAAATGCCCTTGAAAGATATGACATTTAAGTCATAATTATCCCCCCCACCACCACCACCACCAATCAGATCATCATCGCTATCATCATTATCATCATTATCTGATGTCATCATCAGTAACTGCCTCTCTTATAAGTATTTTATTTGTTACAAATTTGAATATATAATAATTAGAATGTTGTTCAAGTTATTTTAGTATCTCTGACAAATAAAGATTTTATTAGTTGTTTCCTTCCCATCTAACACTCTAAAAATAGCTTCATATGATAATGAATGACCTTGACTTTGTAGATAAAATGTCCTGGTAAACATGAACTTTGTAATCTCACCAGAGTCATTTATCTTTCTTATTATTCATGACAACTGTCCTAGGACATGAAAGCAATTAGACCGCAAACTATTTTACCAGTCTATAGTCTATTTCCAAATATATAATTGGATATTCGGGCGTGTTTTATTGATTAATGGGAAAACTGCCAACTGGAGAGATAGGCCGATTGTGGTCTAGTATAAATCCAACAAAACCTGTCTCGTTGGGCTTTATTCTGCAAAGTTTTAGAGAAGAATAGAACAATGTTTGTAGTAAAGGAGTGGAATAGTGCATGGCATGGGAATAGAATGCATTACAGTAATGGCAATAGAATCAAGGGACTTGGCTTTAACTAAAGTAATGAAAAACAAGGTTAGGGAGTTTCCGGGTTGCAATGTAGTCATGGAATTACTAAAGCCTGAGATAGGTAATTTCGATACAGGATAGGGACTTTCAATGTTGCAATAAGAGGATATGGGGGTTCCAAGTGTTGGTTAATATTTCTGAGTAATAATGTCAAGGGTCTTTGATGAAGGAATGGAAAGGTCTCAACAGTGTTCTTTGAAGTAATGTCAGAGCAGAAATGGGAGCTTTGGCGTAATAATAATAATGGAGAGGCAGGACAAGGGGTTTCAATGTCATAATAGTAAGGTGGGATGATTGACTTTGTTGTAGTAATAGAAAGGATAAGGGTTTGGTGTGGCCATGGAAGGGCAGGATAGGGTGTTTTAATGTAACAGAAAGTTTGAAGCTGTCTTGGATATTGTCTGTGGTAATATAAGAGTTAAAGGAGGGGTCAGAAGAAGGGTGAAGCACTAAAGATGCATGATGATAAAGTCAAGGGGTTACGGTACCGGGGAGGGGGCGGGGGTTTGGGTGGAGAAACTGAGTAAGGGATGGGATAAAATGGTTGGGTTTGGAGAAACAGTGCATGTCAGCTTGGATTCTTTAATTTCAAAACTGGAGAATTATAAATATACAGATTATTTCATTTTTGTAATAATATTATATGAAATAAAAGCTTAAATCCGCATTCATATCAATTTTTAACTATATGTGTACAAGGTTCAATAGATAATGTTGCATATCATGAAGTGGTATCTTTTCAGCTACCACTTTATCACGCCCCCATTCATAACCTTTATGATTAGAACAGACTATAATGTAACAAAGGCTATGACAGTAAAAACCAAACAATAGCCCATCTGTAATACTATCTCGCTTTGTTATATTTATACAAACCTCTTTATGAATATCACATCTCTTTATTCACAAATAGTTACGACTTGAAGCAATATGTATGAACACTTTTTTTACTATTTTAAAGACGGTATTAACTTAGAGTTAATATTTATCCCTGT